ATGTCTACCTGCCCCATTACCTTCTCCCCATTTCTGACTGACTGACACTTTTTTTTCTGGGGTTTTTCTTTGCCTGCCTTCCCCCCAAAATGAGACCTTCTTTGGACCCACCTTCGGTGCTGGAGACTCCGGAGCAGAAGGAAAGCAGGAGGGAGGCCAGGGAAACCCATCTGGGGCTGAGGAAGGGGCCCATGGTTTTAGCATTGCCCAGCCCAGATCATCCTTTTCGTCTCAGAGAGTCTCTTTTTCCTCCTTCTTCTTTTTCCTCCTCTCCCGCAACAAACTTTCCAAAACTTCCTTCCTCTCTCTCTCTCTTTCTCTGCGAAGTTTCCTTTTCTCTTCCCACTTCGACTTTTCAACTTCTCCAGACTCTTTTTCTTTTCTTAATGATGATGACTATTATTATTATTATTAATTATTATTCAACTTCCGTGTAGGGCAGAAAAAAGAAATGGGAAAAATAAAAATAAAAGGCCACCACCGCCGCCGCCTCTTTCTCAGCCAGCCTTGGGCGTCGGGAGCCCGCCCGGCGCGTCCCCGCAAAGGAACTCTGCTCCGTCGGGAGCGTGCTTGGCGGGAGCGCGCCCCAAGCCAGTCTTTCTTACCAGATGGAAAACAAAAAGAGGGGAGCCAACTTGGGGACTGGGCTGAGACTTCGGGTCCTTTCTGACTTAGGAGGGCCTTGGGGTTTTCTTGGCCAGCTTTGTTCAGAAGGGGGTCTGGCCTTTGCCTCCCTCTGAGGCTGAGAGTGTGTGACTTGCCCAAAGTTGGCAGGAGAGAGTGAGGCTGGGAGAGTGTGACTTGCCCAAGGTTGGCAAGAGAGGCTGAGGCTGAGAGGGTGTGACTTGCTCAAGGTTCGCATGAGAGAGAGGCTGAGAGAGTGTGACTTGCCCATTATTGATAAGAGAGGGTGAGGCTTGCTCAAGGTTGGCATGGGAGGGAGAGGCTGAGAGAGTGTGACTTGCCCAAGGTTGGCAGAGGGTGGGAGAGGGTGAGAGAGGTGTGACCTGCCCAATGTTGGTGAGAGAGAGAGAGGCTGAGAGAATGTGACTTGCTCAAGGTGGTCATGAGAGAGAGAGAGAGAGGATGAGAGACTATGACTTGCCCAAGGTTGGCATGAGAGAGAGAGAGGCTGAGAGTGTGTGACTTGCCCAAGGTTGACAAGAGAGGGTGAGGCTGAGAGAGTGTGACTTGCCCAATGTTGGTGAGAGAGGCTGAGAGAATGTGACTTGCTCAAGGTGTTTATGAGAGAGAGAGGATGAGAGACTATGACTTGCTAAAGGTGGTCATAAGAGAGAGGCTGAAAGAGTGTGACTTACCCAAGAGGCTGAATAGCCATCTGTCAGGGGGTGCTTTGATTGTGAGTTCCTGAATGAAAGGGTGTTGCACTAGATGGCTCTTGTGATCTCTTCCAACTCTATGATTCTAAAGTCACCCAGTGGGTCCTGACCCAGTGGGGATTTGATCCCTGCTCTCCCCAATCCACCAGAAGAAGAAAGTGCAATAGGCAGGCTTGATGCTAAACATATAGAAAAGAAAAATAATGACCACAAGAGGATCTACATGCATTCAACCTAGACAATGAGGGAATTTAAATAGTTAAAGAGTTCCCATACCTTGGATCAAGCATTGTTCAGAATGGAGACTGCAGTCAAGAGATTAAGAAGAAGACTAGGAATGGGAAGGGCAGTCATGAAAGAACTAGAGAAGAGCCTAAAGAGTAAAAACATACAACTGAGCACTAAAGCCAGAATCATCCAAGCCATTGTATTCTCCATCACCATGTATGGATGTGAGAGCTGGACAGTAATGAAAACAGATAGGAGGAAAACCAATGCATTTGAGATAATGTGATGCTGGAGAAGAGTGCTGAGGATCCCATGGACAGCCAAAAGGACAAACAAGTGGGTCCTACAGCAGATCAAGCCGGAACCCTCCCTGGAAGCCAAGATGATTGAGAGTGTCGTACTTTGCCCATATCATGAGAAGACATGATTCATTAGAAAAGACAATAATGCTAGAAAGATGGAGGGAAGTAGAAAGAGAGAAAGACCACATGCCAGGTGGATGGACTCAACCAGGGAGGTCATGGGCCTGAATTTGCAAGACCTGAGAGAGCAGTGGAGGACAGCGAGGTTTGAAAATGTCTCATTCTCAGGATTGATATGAGTTGGGGGCTTCTCAGGGTAGTTAACAACAACAAAGGCAACCCTACCATGGAATTTTCTTGGCAAGATTTGTTCAGACGAGGTTTGCTGTTGCCTTCCTCAGAGGCTGAGAGATTGTGACTTGCCCAAGGTCACCCAGTGGGTTTTTACGCTCAAGTGGGGATTTGAACCCTGGTCTCCAGAGTCATAATCAATACTCAAACCACTACATCACACTTGATCTCATGCAGACTTTTTAAAAAAACAAAAACAACAGCACCAAAACCCTAACAACATTCAAATAGGCTGCTTTGAAGATGCAAAAAGTGCAAAAGCAGGACTATAGTTAATTATTAAGAAAACAAAAGTGACCCCAGTCAATTTGCATAACTTTGAATTGAGTGATGGAGACATAACAATAGTTAGCTTTTCTGTGTTTTGGCTCAGTCAATAATTGAAGTGGAGACATTCCTCAAGAAATTAGAAGATGTCTAAAACTTGGATGAAGGAATATATCATTAAATACAGTGAGCCCTTGGTATCCACTGGGATTTGGTTTCAGGATTCCCTGGGGATACCCAAATCCATAGATGCTCACGTCCCATTAAATACAGTGGCAGAGGAAAATGGTGTCCCTTATGGCAAAAATGGCAAAATCAAGGTTTGCTTTTTGGAATTCATACCTTGTTTGAATACTTGTAAACTGTGGATGGCTGAATCTGTGGATACAGATTGGAATGACTGTACTAAAGTCAGGATCATTCATGATAAAGTATGTCTGATTTCTGTGTGTGGATGTGAAACCTGAGCAGTGAAGAAAAAGGACAGGAAGAGAATTAAGTAATTTGAAATGTGGTGCTGGAGGAGAGTTCTGTAGATAGCATGGTTTATCAACAAGACGAATGAATGGGTCTGAGAGCGAATCAAGCCTGATCTCCCACTAGAAGCCAAAAATGAATAAATTGAAGCTATTGTATTTTGGGCTTATTGTGAGGCATGACACATTAGAAAAGGTAATAAGGCTGGGTAGAGTGGCATATAGTGGGTAAAGAGGAAGACCTCTGTACAGATAGACTGATCCAATCAAGGTTACTGGCCTGAGTTTGTAAAACCCAAACTATTTATGACCGAACCTATTCAGGTCTCTCATTCATAAGATCAAGAGCCATAGGGTGAAGGGCCAGCATGGCATAGTGGTTTGAGCATTGGACTACAACTCTGGAGACCAGGGTTCGATTCCCCCTTCGGCTGTGGTAACCCATTGGGTGACTTTGGGCAAGTCACACTCTCTCAGCCTCAGGGGAAGGTAATCGCAAACCTCCTCTGAACAATTCCTGCCAAGAAAACCCCATGTTGGGAATAACTTGAAGGCACACGACACAAACATTCTTAGGGTCACCATAAATTGAAGCTGACCTGGAGATTATCTCAACTGCCTTTGATTTGCTACTTAAGAAGCAAATGTTTCATCTTGGTTATCTCAATCAAGTGGATACACAAGAACTTTGCCAAAACATGGTTGTAAGTACTTTTGTGAGGAACTGAAATAAGTGGGGAAACCTTATTGTTTTGTCAACAGATGTTACCACAGAACTGGGGTGGAAACAGCTGGCCCTCCAGATGTTAGCAAATTCCATTAGTCCCGGCTAACATAGCCTATATCAACTGATAATGGTAGTTGCAATCCAACAGCATCCGAAAGGCCACACTTTCACCGCTGGGTCGTAGAAAAAAAGGGCTTTAATATTTTCTCTCATTTCATCTTACAGTAATATACCAGATTTCAAATAGCTAGAACATTAAAAATACAATTAGCTTTCAGTTGTGTGGATGAAAATGGCCTCCTCAACCAATCTGTCTTTGGTCAATTATCCCCGCAGTTTTATACCTGGCTATTCTAAGTCTTGTTGAGTTTAATGGGATTTACTTCCTTGTGAGTATGTAAACCTGCAGCCAGAATAACAAGATGATCCTCTACAATGTATTATGTAAGAACATAAGTTCTCTTGAGTTCAATCCCATTTAAAGTTAACTGAATGTAGTACTTAAGCCTAAACCAATTAAAGTAAGTGTGTCTGTCTACATACAAACACACTCACTTTAATTGGTTTATGCTTCATTCCTTCTTGTGTGTATTGTCTGTGTGTGTGTGTATACATATTAGTGTATATAAGTCTGTGTGTATACACACAAACACACACATATTATAATTGTTTTAGACTTAAATGCTGTATATACATGCATGTACTACATGGAAGAGCCAGCATGGTGTAGTAGTTTGAGTACTGGACTAGGACTCTGAGAGGCCAGGTTCCCTGCTTAGCTATAGAAGTTCACTGGGTGACCTTGGACAAGTCACACTCTCTCAGCCTCAGAGGAAGACAATGGCAAACAACCTCTGAACAAAACTTGCCAAGAAAACCCTAAGGGAGGATAACCGCATCAGAAATGTGAAGGAACATAAGAACAATCTAAAATGGAAACTGAGGGCAAGAAAATATGAATACAGTACAATAATCCATATTCTGCCTCAGAATTTGCTGCCATTGACAATATTAATTCTGCAGACTAATAATACATGAGCACCTAAATACTATTTGGGAGGATTCCATGTGCTTTAGATGTTTGCTGGAGTCTCTTCATTAGTCTGCCTGTTTTCTGAGATTGTCATAGGATCCTGTCATCTTTGTCCAAAGGTCCCTGCTCTATGACAGGTAATGCCAGGAGATCAGGGCTTTTTGCTATAATTTGTCAGCCAAAATGGTTCCCCCAATATTTTAAGAATTATTAATGTTGGTATTAAAGAAAAAAATGATTACTGTTTTTCTATTAGCGATCTGAAGTGACTGATGATTGTTTAGCCATGTCAGTTTGCATTATTATATTATAGATATTATATTTTATTATTAATAATAATAATTGTCCTTTTGAGACTTATTAATTTGTTAGCTGCTTAGGGAACATAAATTTAAGTTCAAAGTGTGAGGTGTGAATTATGGCGTCCATAAATCAATACTGTAACACTTACAATAATTGTATTAGGTAGGATATTATCTTTCCCATGCTATAGGTGGGGACTAAGGCTGAGAAAGTTATGGCAGAGATGATATCTAACCCAAGGTTTTCCAGATTCTTAGGTTATACCAATATTATGAGGTAATAATCCAGATGGCAGTGCCTCTGAACATGTGGAGAGTATCTTTCTTAAATATATATTTCCCTTTCCAAATGTTAAAGGGGTACTACTACCACACAAGCTTGACTCTGGACATCTTACACTTTGTGAATAAAGCAGTGCTTTGTTTTTTATCTAGTTATGTGCACACACTTGGAAAATGAAAGACAGTAAAGGAGGACATATATTGGTCTTTTGGAGAAAAAGGGATGCTGGTTTTAAAGATAACCAACAATACAAGACCAGAATGTCTCTAGATGATCTGTTGCGTAACCCTCACAACATGCAACAAGGTTTTACTGCGTGGGTAAAGGAACTGGCAGCAAGAATTTACAAAACAGACTGCTCTCCTGTGTCGGATAAACAGGAGCTGTGCTGCTCATTATTACAGATGGGGAAATCATTTGTCATTATGTGCCTGAAAGTTGCTTGTTGACTTATGGTGACCCCATAAATTTCATAGGGTTTTTGTGGGCAAGGAATAAGTGGTTTTGCCAACACCTTCCAATGAAATATAACCAGGTATTTGTTGGCATTCTCCCATCCAAGTGGTTAGCTTCCAAGATCAGGAGGGATCTAATTCCTTTAGGGTATTTAGTCTCATGCAACCATGCAAATATTGGTTAGGAATGGTGGGAATTGCAGTTTAAGAGCATAAGTGGGAAGGTAATTTACCTGTGATTTATGGGGAGAACCATGCAGCTCCACTGGCTTTTTTACCGTTTCATTACTGGGCACAATTCAAAGTGATAGTTATACCCTAGAAATCCCCCCAATAGTTTGGAATCAAGTTTTGTTATGAAACAACATCTACCTGAGTTTTGAGATCAACTGGAAAGGCCTTTTACTCAGATATCTAACCAACATCTGGCAGGGAAAGGAGAGAGAGCATTCTCAACATCAAAACCTCATTTTTATGAGGTTTCCCCTAGTCTTCTTGATGATATCTTTCCAACATCTGGATTTTTTTAAAATGATAATTTAGAGCCCTAATTTTAAATTGATTATAATATAGTCTACTCTAGCAATTTTAATTACTAATGAGAATTAAATGGGAGCCAGTGTGGTGTAGTGGTTTGAACCGTTGGACTAGGACTCTAGAAACCAGAGTTCAAATCCTGGCTCAGCTATGGAAACCCTAATCTTAGGCAAGTCACACATTCTTACCCTCAGAGGAAGACAATGCCAAACGCCCTCTGAAAAAACATGCAAAGAAAACCCCATGATAGATTTGCCTTTGGGTTGCCATAAGTCAAAACTACAGCAATTTTAATGTGGGTCACTATAATGTTTTATAACTGAGGCTGCACCTGCACCCCAATAATAATCTAGTTTGACATCACTTTAACTGCTATGGCTCAATGCTATAGAATTCTGGGAATTATAGTTTGTTGTGGCATGAGAGCTCCCTGAAAGAGGCGGCTAAATGTCTCACAAACTACAGTTCCCAGAATTCCATAGCATCGAGCCAAGGCAATTAAAGAGGATTCAAACTGGAGTATTTCTTGAGTGTGGATGTAGCCTAGCTGATTTTATGCACTTTCTTTTTCTCTTATCATGATAGCTTTTAAAGAACTGCTCTATTGTATATATATTATTGTTTTGTGGGTGCTAAACCTAAAAGGCAAAGCCATTTTTATATTAAATAATAACAAATATATTGTTGTTACATGAAAGGTTAGAGAGGAAGACATCCTATTTCAATGTGCACCTGAGGGTCATCATAGTAAAAGGAGAAAAGACAACTTCTGAAACAATATTTTCTGTGCTGTTGGTACCAAGTATCAAAGGCAGATATAATCTGGACAGAGTTTGGTTACCATAAGCAGTGTACTCCTTAGGGTACATTGGAATATATAAAGGTTCATCTCTTTTCTGAAGAGTTTATAAAATAAGAGAGCTGGCTGTAATGGATTAGCTAAATCAGTGGTGGGCAACTCCCAATGTTTTTTGATTGCAAATCCCATAGTCCTTTACTATTGCTTCAAGTGACTATGGTTTCTGGAAACTGTAGACAAAAATGGAACACCCACCTATTCCTGCCCAACCACTGAATTTTTATCCAGTTTTCAGGACCAGACCAAACACTTTGGAAAGCAATACAGTATGGTATTTTCCCTCCCATCTACCTCCATAATTGATTGAACAAGCAGTCTGGTTTTACTTAAACGCTTAGGGTGCACAGGGAAAACTTCATGGCATACACACAGAACTCTGTGCACCCTTTAACAGCAAGGTTTGCAAAAGAAGATTGGTTGATGTTTTTACTGTGGTTCAACAGAAGTTCTAATTATAGAAGCTGTGTACCTAACCTAGAATTCAGACTGATTTAGGAATCTGGTGTTGCAACACATTTAAAATGGAGTGAAGAAATTATGTAGGGAAGTTTCTTTCTTGTCTTCCCAGCTGAGCTGGGAAAATGTCTCTCTAGATGTGCATTGGCTTAAATTTGAACCCTTTTGCTTGGACTTCATTTTACCTTTTCCCACTGTGCAGATCTTCATATCTGAAAAAAAAAAAAGTACTTGCAAGGCCTCTTTTAATTTAGACAAGGAGGAATCCAAAGTGGCCATATAGAAAGCGGATCTTCATTGTGCCACGGTATTGTCCTAGAGACTCTCTCTTATCCTTGTAGCTCTTCTCTAAATGCACTCCAGTGAAAGCCTCAAAGTTAATTTGACTGCTGCTAAGGCAAAGTCTTGACTGACTTTTGTGGCACAAAAGTAGCAGGCCTCAACTGTTTGCTGTGCTTTCTTATGGCTTCTGGATGGCTGGGTTTGCCGACAGTTGTGATCAAGGCTTTTGCTGAGTTTCTTGTGGTTCTTTTTCAGATGTGAAAGGCCAGGGAGTGGGAGAGGGCTTGGGAGGAAGGGGGGAGTGTTGGCTTCTAGAGACGCAAGCCTGCGGAGGAAATTCTTGGAACAGTGGAGGGATTTTAAGAGAATGGGCTCTTTCAGGATTTCTCTCAGACCCTGCAGGCAGCCAAACAGGAGGGGAAACACTCTTGTGTTAACTGATTTGTTTCTTTCTCCTTAGCCATATTTTACATGCCGGCAGCTGTTTGCAAAGAGTGGG